TGAACGTAGTCTTCTTCTCAGCCTCTCTCTTTGTCGCTCTTCCGGTCTCTCCACTTTTGGGAGAAAATTTGACGAAACCCGAAGTTGCGGCTGTAAGAGAGACTGGACTGAGTGTAGCAAACTATGAGTTAAAATCTTTCCACACGAGAAGATAAATTTAGATAATTATATGATAAGCAGCAGTTAGCCAAATATTATTCGCAATATTTGTTATTATTGTCATTTTTCTATTCACACATTTTAGGGTCTTATAAATATAATATCATTTATTTTATGAAATGATCATTTTTCAGGTGGCTCAACGCTTACTAGAAAAAGAAGTCCTAAATCGTGAAGACATGATAGATCTGCTAGGCCCYAGGCCATTCAAGGAGAAGTCAACATATGAAGAATTCGTTGCCGGAACAGGAGGTGAAACAGAAGACACAACATTACCAAAGGGACTGCAGGGACTCAAAGATGATAACTCTGAAAGACCTGCACCAGCAGGGACCATACCAACATAGTACCTCTAACAAGAGGTCATGTGACCATCTCATTCTAGTGCCAAAGTTTGATATGAACTTTCAGGTGAAATGAAAACAAAGGTTGTATTGGTTATGATTGYCCTCGCTTTCTTTTACAAATCCATCTCGGTATTTTGGAAAATGTTTATTACAATCAATCTCACTTATTTTTATAAACAATGTTGCAGTCATTTCGAAGTTGTGAGCCACGTGACAACTCTAGGATATAGATTTAAGCTGGACAAATTGTTCACATAAAATCTTCCTCAGCGAGATGTGACGAATCTGCTCAGTACATTCAGTAACTGTTGTATCTCGTGAATTGTCTTATATTTTCTTCTGGTTCCTGTGGCATTCAAATCTAACAGAATAACTATTGATGACTTATTGATGCAGTAGAATGTAGAAATCAAAAGTCCGAAATATTATGTGGCTGAATCCCAGAAAAAGTCTCTCGAAATTAACATTCTTAAGTAAAGTATAAATAAGTGTAAATAATAGCATGATTTCAAATGTGTATACTTTAAAGTTATCCTGTGTTAATAAACAGTTTTGAAACGTTGACAGCTTTATTGTGTTAGTGAATAGAAGTAGCGACAAAGACCAAGCCATTAGTAGGACTTGCATTCAATAAGCCTGAGTTAAAAATGGTGAACAGATATAGTGTATCCAKCCATTGATGATTCATATCCCAGATAGCAGAAACATGGGCGAGTTATTTTTCTGTGATTGACAGAGTGATTTTCATTGTTATATTTGATTCGTATTTTACGTATAAAGTTCTCCACCAGTTCCTGAGGGGTGGCGTGTTAAAGAAATTTTTTGAAAAATGATAGGGCGCATTGGCTACCGAGGTATGAGAGATAAAAACCTTACTAACAGGGCGATATGCGAGCGTTCTACTATTTTGCGACTCCTATTATATAAACTTACGCTTAGTCCGGTTTCATTCCGACGAAGGATTAACTTCTGAAACGCCCGTAGTTTACCTTTTGTGCTTTTACGTGCATAATTTGTCTTAT